AGCCCCTGTGCTGGGCACACAGAGACAGGGAAGCAGCAAGCCCAGGGCTGCCTGCTCCCCTGTCTCAAGGCACACTGCACCCTAGCCAGGGAGTGGCTGGCTGGGGTGCAGGGATCTTCAGCGTGTGGGCTCCACAGTGCAGAGAGATGGGCTGCCTGCTCCCTCATCTCCACGTGCCACTCTTGGACAGGCTGGGGCATAGGGTGCCTCCATGTGGGGGCTGCCTGCCACCTATCCCCATGCTGAGGCACCCTGTGCCCCAGCCACCCCTGCAGCACATGAAGCAGTGGGACAATGTGTCCTGCTGCAAACTGCACAAGCAGGGGTGTGCACTGCAGAATAAAGTAGAGGCACAAACTTGTGCTGCTACTATTTGTGCTGCTGCAAATACACACCCCTGTTTGTGTGGACATGGCCATAAGGCCCTTGTAACTCTGTTTTCCTAATGTGTATGCAACAAAAGATATCTCCTCCAAACAAAACAGTATGCTACACACACAGTTCTCCACAATTAACCACATACAGATATTTGTCAAATCACTTCATGTACTATTGAAAACTGTTCAGATAAGAAGGTGATGAAACAGTATAAGAAACCTAGACAGAATAGAATGTGGAACAGAAATTCAAATATGCTTACAGAAAGTTGAGCTGGTTCTTCTGAATGACAGTTAGGCCAGCTGCTCCCATTCTTTCTTATATATTTGAACAAACTACTTCTCCAGTGTCATAATATGAAAAGAAGTATCGGTGTCTTTAATATTAAGAATTGTGCAAGTAAGTCATTGTGAAGTCTTTATCCTAAATTATTAGTCTGTAGCCAATGATGTGTAGCATTGTTCTCATTAAGTAAGACCTTATATAATTCAACAACTCTTTGCTATTACACCATGACATTAACATTGTTCCTGTGCATGGCACAGTGTTATTTTAACAACATATTAAAAACCAATTTCACTTAGGACATAATCAGATATTAAATGCATATCACCATTTAAGGGCTTTTCTACCTTCTACCTAATTGCCTTTCTTAACTTTACCAAGAAATGGTATCTTGTGCATTTACCCTCAGCACTGCATTTTGCATAAAACCACAGGCAAAACACAGACATGAGTCCATTCCTAGTTTATCTGTAATGTTCAGAGGATATGTGGAATGCATTTTCTTCCCTTGATTAAAAAAAGGAAACTGTTTTTTGAGCTAAACTGGAGAACAAAACTATTTCTCCTCTCATATTTTACAGTACTTATTTTTATGAATAATAAATCTATAATATAGTGTATCGATAACTTGTGACAATGATTTAAAATAACTATAAACCCCTAAACCTATTGGCACTGAAAAGATTTAAATGTAAAATAAACTAGTTAAGATACTAATATAGTACTGTGGAATGATGAATACACGTGTAGCTTAAACAGAAGTATACATCTTTTAAAGATGCAGGCCTCTGAGTATAACTATATTTTAACAAAAAAAAGTCCAAAATTAGGAATGGCTAAAACAAAGGAATAGAAAACTTAATATAAGCTTTAGGGAACTGATTTTTTATAATGAAAACACCAATTGAAAAAAAATCATAAATTAGACATTACCTCTTTAGACTTCTCTCAGAGCAGATTTATTTATGTTCAATACATAGAGTAGTTTAAGTAGCATACAGATATTATATTTAATACCAAGTTCTCTTTTTCTGTTTGCAATAAAAAATAAAAAAATTCTTTGTTTTTCACTCAATGAAATGAAAGAGCATTTATAAGAGTAGGAGTTTGGAAAATTCCCATAATAATTTTAGTTCTCAGATAATCTTTATTTATTCATGTATTTGAAGGAGAGGTCATATTGGGACATTGAGGTCAAACGCAGATAGAAACATGCTTTTCTTCATGAATGTATTTTTAAATCTGTTTCACGTCATTCTCTTTTACGTGCACAGTTTTACCATTGTGCCTTTTAAGAATCTGGACCCATTATTTTTTTTCTGAGTAGTTGCAGTTAGACTATTTGGTCCGAATGCAGTATCTTGTATAATTCTCAAAGAGAAATAGCCTGCTAGATTGCAGCAGCTCTCTAGCATTAAAATCTCAGTACCACATGGTGGAGTAAGAAGCACATGGAATTTACCAAGACTCAAATAGCTCTGATCTAAAGAACCAAAAAAGATGGTTAATCCAGAATAGGGTTTTGATGGAGTTGAATGAGTGATGTCTAGTACAACAAAAACCTCAGAGTCTTTCTGATTTAAATCCTGTATTATGTAGTTTCAGATGTTTAATATACTTTGCTGAAAAGTCAAATAAATACTCTCTGTACTTAATTAACTATCACAGATGACTATCCCTTTTTGCTGGAGCTGTAAGGAATGGACACAGGAGTGAAGCTATGGTCTTAGAAGTTCTATCATAAGGAAGAACTTTTGAGGCCTCTGTAGGGCCCACAAAGCACCTGGCAGCAGAGGCTGCTCAAGAGACAGGCTTAGACCATAAATTGGTATTCATTTTTAGTGGTAGGAATTTTCCACCACTAAAAATGTTTCTGGGAAAGGGAGCAGTGGAGGTGTTCAGCCTGCAATCTCTCCCTCTCCGCTGTTCCTTGTACATTCCCAAGACTGAGTGAGCCTGGTTTGGGGGAAGCATGGGAAGCAGTGGCTGCTCTAGTCATCCCATTCATGCGGGGACTGGGGCATTGAGTAAAGCAGGCAGGAGCAAGGAGTGATTGCTTCTCTGTTTGGCTCCTAGTGCTCAGGAACTGAACCAAGGAACAGCCTGGTAACTCCTCCTCACCTGCTCCCCAGACCAAGAAGCCAGAAGCGTCCGTGACCCCAGTGTGGAGAAGGCTCAGGAGCTTTTCCCAACACTCAACTCCTCCTGGGATTGGGAGATGAGCAGTAACGATTCCCAAGTCATCCATAAATTAGAGTGACCCTAGTCTTAGGAAGGCATGGGGAGCAATCACCTCCCACTCAACTGCTCAGCTCCTCCTAGACTAAGGTTATTTTTCTCCCAGAACTGCCATTTTGTTCTGGGAGAAAATGTATGAATGCCTGTATGCTCATGGTTCCTATGGGGAGAATTGGAGTTCCAGAAACAACGCTTGTTTTTGGTCTTAGTCAGAGTGGTGCCATAACCTTATCCTTGCTATTCATGGGCAGAATATATCAAGCTATTTACCCATTTAAAATTCATTGAACATTTTATTTTCCCAAAAGATTTTTAAAAGATTGAGCTTAGGAGAACTGAAAAAACTTGCATTAAAACTGTTCAGTTCATGATTTTGTTTCTTAAAAGATTGCACCGAAACTTTTAGATAAAATCACAATGGAGAAAGATTCAACAGCTTCTGGGTTGATCATATTTCACATTATAACGTATTACCATTAGGAAAATGAAGCTATAAAACCAGGAGCATCAAAAAAGTTTACTTAAAAGTTAAATGCAATTTGATTGTAGTCAGTATTATTCCAGGAGGGTGGATGAGATTTTTACAGCTGCCCATGTATTACATCTATGCATGCATCTAAGCCAGATATATCTATGGTACACAGCAAACACCTATGAAAAAACAAACAAACCTGACCAATCCTCTGATATATTTGAAAGGCTCCAAGTACAGCACTAACAAGTACTATCTTTCAGTATCTCCTTAACTCCTTATGTTTTTGAGCTAAACATTTAGAAGACTTAAGTTAAGCTGGTGCACCCTAGAGAAATGCTGTTTTCCCCTATATTACTTAATAATTCTCCAGGTAAATCGTGTTTTTGGAAAGAAAAAAGGCATCTAGAGGGGATACTAGATAAATACTACCCTTTATGATTAACATTTGAGGACTGAATCACTAGGGCATGATTCTGCTGGTGCGGGTTGAGGGAACCATGCTGAAATCAATGTAAATTTAGGCAGAGAAAAAGCTCTCAGTCTCTAAATATCAGTTGATTTTCATATTGACACAAATACATATATGCATGCAAAGCAGCTTAAAGATTCATGGATATATGTTTAAATATCACCATGTTCTTTTGGATCTTTAAACTACTTTTAAACTTTTAATTTTTAAATTAAAGAATAAAAGACCTGATTTCTACAGATGTGGTGCAACCACATCTTCCTCTGACTTCAACTGGTGCTGCTCTGAAAACAGTCTCATAGTGACTTACTCACACATTTTTATCTTTTCTATATTTTTTCTTGTAATCAAACTTTATTTTTAATTTCTAATTGCTCCAAAAGTTACTGTCTCCTATGATATAATCTGAATAGCTTTATAAAATATATATTTTTTAAAATCACTGGAATTATTTTAACCTATTCTTTTAAAAAAAGTACTACAGATAGATTATACCATGGAAACTGTTGGAAGTTACAAACCACAGTTGCATGAATGCTATCTACAGTTTATATAAACCACACATACAATTTAGGGAGAATGATTTATTTTAAACTTGTCTGAACTGGAAAAACTGAAATGTAATGCCATTTTTTTGCATTTCTTAGTAATCTTTAATCAATTTACCTATATTATGTAATTCAGTAACAATGCACTGGTCATCTAATTGCTTTTCAAAACATTTTTTATAAATTAAGTAAATTTGTTTATTTTTGTATGATGTGTGTTGGATATTAAAATGCTACAAGTGTTTATTATTGACATTTGAATGTTACTGCTTAGTTTTCTGTCATTAAATCACCTAAATGGGTAATGATAAAATTAATGGAAAGTACTAGCTTACTGGTAAATTAAATTGATCTCCTTTAAGCAATACTTCTATCCCTACTTCACTTGTCTTTTAATAGATAATGTTGTACCAAAGATGTGTTATATCTCCGTCTTTTGGATTTAGAGTACTGTGGGAAAAATACCTTATAAAAAGAGAGAATGAAAAAGAAAAAGAAAAAGAGGAGAGAAAATTTCTGAGTATAGCCAGTACACACTCCTTGATTCAGAAACCTTGGTGTGATTAACAAATCAATTCAAGACCATTAGCTCCTGCTTATAACTTACCTGTGCTTCATGAGGGACTTGTGCTGCATCAACTCTGTCTGCAATGTAGGCTGTTAACTGTCTGTCAACGAAGGAAAGAGACTCTTGGATTAAGCGAAGGGTTTTGTCAATCTCCTGGGCAGACTGGATACTCTGTTCAAGAGCCTTTTGTCTTCGTACAGCCTAAAGACAACAATAATAATTATCAAAATAATAATTAATTGAACATTTACAGTCACAATATTTTTTCTCAAAAATGAAGGCTGTATCATAAATCGCTATGTCTGATTCTTTCATAGCCACCTTTTTGTAAGATAAATTTCGCCTCTTTTTGCCACCCATCCAGATCTCTTTTTAAAGAATTTTGCACAAAAAAAATTCCTAATGTTTGCAGGACACAAAAACCAGCACATCCACTGAGGATTTCTATAGAGGCTAGAAGACAGTGGAACTGGGAAATAAAACCATTCTTCCTGATGCAGTCTTCCATTCTGAGGTCTAATGGTCCTCTTAATCTCATTACATAGTTCAAGAGATTTTGTTTACTTGGAATGGGGTTAATGTCATCACAATCCAATCCAAAATAATCCATTTCAACAAGTGAGAGGGATAAAAGAAGTCTCGAGAAAGAACTCTCACATGTGAAATATAAATCACTTCCTGAAGCAGACTGAATGCTAATTCTAAAGAGAACATGAATCTTTGTCTTCATTTTTCAGGCCCTACCTGTAGTCACTCCTACTTTATAGGAATGCGGGTACCTGTCTACATCTCCCCTCCCACCTCAGTTTAGCAGACTTGTCCATATCAGCCCCCCTGTCCCCCCAGAAGTGCCACACTTGACTGCCAGTTTTGTAAAAATTTTGGACAAGCACCATTATGCTTTCCTCTTTGGTGCCCTGGTGCCTAGAAGAAATTTCCTAAAAATTATTTATGATATGAATAAATTATCCCACTTTAAATCTTTTTCTTAAAACCTGCTTATGTTTTTGATGCTAACAAACCACTTGACAATGATTAATCAATTATATGACTGTTTATAACTGTTTCAGCATTACCATATATTTCCTCAGTTTGCTGACTCTACCAGCTACCTCTACACATTATACTAGGCTTACAATGTATGCTTAACACATTGGGGCTCCAGCCTCTAGGCAATGCTGAAATAATAATAAAACCTGTACAATCCCAACCTTCACTTAGGGTGAGCAGGTTTCCTATGTAGAAGTCTAGCCATATATCAGTGACTAACTTTCCTTAACCAATTATTAATTAAAAGGGGAGGGAGAGAGTTTTGGCAGTGTATTAGTGTTAGCTGCTCTATTATTATTCATGAGTTGTGCCTACCAAGTAAACTACATTTTAATCTGATTTAATAGCTACACACTACTTTGGGTGCCTGATACCTTCAGCCAAAAAGACTTGAAATACTTATCAGCCAATCAGTGAGCTATTCTACATGGAGCTCTGGTCCTTCAAGGCCTACACATTTAATCAATATGTGCATTTAATTATTCTGAACACTCTTGGTGGCTCCTGTAATTAGTAAAAGGATAGGGTCCCAAAGCCGTACCTGCTATTTTGAGTGTTTGTAAGCTGCTTTATGCTATTTCTGAACAGCTCATCACATAACCCTGTACAGTTGCCAGTTCTAGGAATTTTCTGTGGAACTGAGCAGCTTTGCAGGTTGGACCCATGCTGTCAGTGTTAATGGAAGCTCCTGAGTTACTGAAATAATATTACACCAGTAAATGAACCGCTAAAGCAATGTTCTTTCACAAAGTACTGCTAGTTCTCTCTACTTCTGTAGCTTTTACTTCCATTTCTCTGTGATCCTAATTTTATCTCATGTAGTAAATTTTGGATAGATTATCTCAATATTAAAACTGCAGTGCCTTTTCCTCCCCTTTAAAATGTCAGCATGTATTATCTCTTCAATCTTTCTCAAGAAGTTTCCTGAACCCTAAACTCAGAAAATCTACAAAACTACTGACCAGTCCACCTAAGACGAAAGCATATAATACTAGAAAAGAAAAATATTTGTATTTAAAAATTAAAGCTATATGAAAATATGCAAATTACAATAACATCTACAAGTTCAACAGTGCAAACTACAGAATCTCACAGAACCACTCAGGGTATACCAATGCTGTTAATACAACTACCCTGACACTATTGCAGAAACCTAACCCTCACTTACTTACTATCACCCTACATCCAATGCACACAGAAACCATGTTGTGGAGATGCTGACAGAAGGGTGCCTCTAAGCGAGCTGCCCAGCCTGCTGGCTTCTGCTGAAATGCCCTGCTCCCTGAGGAGCTCATCAACCCAGTCCTTCAGCTAAAACACAGTTTTTGAGCAGCAAACAAACCAACAAATAAATAAACAAAAGCAAACCCTGTTCTGGCCCTGGAATGAGGACCCTTTGACTCTGGCCCCAGCACAGCAGCCTGCCCCTCCTGGGTACCAAGCTCATAGGCTGCCTTTGGCTCACGACTGTTCCCTCACAGTTTACTGTTCTTCTGCTTTCTTCTTGGGGTTTTAAACTCCTAGTTTCGTAGATACTTTTTGAAGATCACAGTATCTAAATGCCCCGCATGTGGGCTTCCTCAAGAGGGCTGACTTAAAGGCCCAAACTGCCCTGTTACCATGCCCAACACTGCTCTCATGAGTACACCAACTGTAGTCCTAAAAAAAATTCTTGGGCACTTTCCAAAAGGAGGTTATACAACTTTTGAGCTTGATGAGTGGGAGCACATAAGTGGGTTTTATTTTCCTGAAGTGGTCTTGGAATCAGCTTTGAGATGCTACAGACATACCCATAGACACCCTAAAGTCTACAGGCACCTACAGTTTTGACAGTAAAGATATATAAGGAACTAAATTCTAACTTGGGATACACAAACCAGGTATAATTCTGATCTATAGGCTAAACTTACTGTTGGTATGTGGCAAAGCACAACAGCTGCTATTCCTTTCCTTAAATAAAGTAGAGAACCAGAGGGTAGATAAAGGGAGGATGCCCATTTTCTATACAATTACTTAATGCTTACAGCACTGACACAAGAAATGGGACACGCAGGTGTCAAAAATCATGCATCTTTCAGAGGAAGCTCTTCCGCAGAACTCCCAAAGAAGAAGCCTTACCTGGTCTCCCTCTCCTCTAGGACCCCTTGAAGCCAGCCCTGGCATGGCTTCTCAATGGGCAAACCTCTGGCTCAAGACCCAGGCTCCTCTTCAGCCATAGCATAAGTGTAACAAGGCCCTTATATTTATAGATAGTAAAGACCACAAAGTCAAATGTGTTGGTGAAAGAAGTTGTAACATAATGAATATTAATAGTGAGTTTATTTCTCTCCTTTTTTACTATATTTCCTCCTTATATTTCTTGGATGCACTTTATTTACCTCTCTTGAGGTAAAGGTTATTTTTCAATAGAGAAATGTCTTGAAGTAAAAGCTTTTGAGGGGGCTCACAGCCATGGGGACCATGTGCAGCTGGGACCCAGAATCCTGTCAGCTGTGGGGTCTCTGGGTCCTGCTGGGGGTGAGGTGCACCTGGGACTAGGAGCCCCATGTAGCCCTCAAGTACCCCCCGAGCCTTGGGGATTATGGTAGCTGTGATCTCCAGGGCTCAAGGGTTGCACCTATGTGGCTGGGAGCCCTGTCAGCTGACAGGCTAGGCCCCAAGCCACAGGGGAGACCCTGCTGCATATGCACATTAAAGCTCAATAGCAACCAGCTATAAAGTTAGTATACATTTTTGAGGTCTAACTTTATAGCTGGTTGGAGATTTTTATTGTGTGATAGCCACTTCATACATATTGCTGGTTTCAAGGTAATTGCACAATTAACCAGTTAGTTGTATAATACCTGTAATGTGTAGATGGGCCATATACATGTTTTTGATCATTTTGTGTTTTTAACCAAAACAAAAGAAAAATACTTATACATTTCCCTTTTATAGATCTAGTCCACCATAACTAAGCTCATGAGCCAAATGCTAAGCCAAAGCATTTTCGTCTCTACCCAGATTGAAATGCTGCTAAGAGCTCATCACTTGAAATCAGACTCGAGAGAGCTCCATTCTTATTTAGGCACCAAGAGTACGTGGACAGTTTTTCAAGAGGGTTGAGCATCCTGAATTGTATGAAAATGTATGATGAGTGCAATATTTTCATAACTGTCATGTAATTAACTGAAAGATAAAAAGAAAAAAAACTTCCTTTACATTCTGCAAATCAAAATGTTAGGTCTCAGATATAAACTCAGAATGCAAATATACCCAGACTCTTTGTTCAGATATTAGGGTGGATAAATCCAGTGAATAATCACAAGATTGCAATGAATGCTCCCCAAGGCTGGTTGACTTTTTCAAGAGTTCAAATGAATATGGAGCAAATCATAATCTGTCTTGCTGATTTAGACCAGAAATTCACATCTACTCATGAAAATATTTTGAAGTACATAGTGATATTTTTGTTTATGGGATATAAGAAAGAATTGCAAATACAAGAAAGGAAGTGCAATACCTTTAGACTATCTCTCATGCTGTTCATAGTCTTATGTTGGCCTTAAGGCCAGGTCAGTAATAGGCATCCAGGGCCAGACTTGCACACTCAGCAGTCCCAGGGTCTGTCTCTCTAAAGGACTAAATTAAATCTTTTGTATTATCTAAAATCAATACAATTTTTACCCAACTCTGGGTTTACAGTAATTAATTAGTTCCAATCACTCTCAAGTCGACCCAGCCATGGCTCAGGCATGTGGTTTAGATCCCTCCCTCAACAATCAATTAATAGCAATGAAACAAAAGCAAATGTCCATCAATTTTCCTCATTCAGTCAGTTCTCAAGAGTGTGTTCTGAGTTGGGGTCTTCAAGTCCATGCCCCATTATAAATCATAAAAGTCTTAAGCAAAAATAGCAATTAACTGTTAAAGAAAACAAAACAGCAGGGCTTTGCCATGCCCGAGTCTCCAGACTCTTGCGGTTGCCCAACTCATGTGCAATGTTCTTAGTGTCCTGATGCTCCCTATCTCACAGCACCTCTCAACATAGATATGCATTCCCTTCCCTTCCCCAACTCGTTCTGACTTTTCTTTCTCTCCCTCTCTATTCCCTATAGACAAGCATAAGCAAGCTCAGACTTAGGATAAGCTTTAACAGTTTCATTTTGGTA